AGGATCGCTACGTCGTCGATGAAGCCGGTGGCTTTCGTGTCTCCGGTCTCATTGCAGCTATCCAAGAGATCCGCGTTGTAGAAGAGGTAGAGTATCGGCGAAAGGGGCGACCCTTGTGGGATGCCGGTGTCGAGTCTGTAGGTCTCGGATCGGAATCCGTCCACGTGGATCTCCGTCTCTCGGCATCCGAGGAAACTGGCAACCCAACGCACCGTCGCTTCGTCGATCCGCCTCTTCCGCAGGTTGTGCAGGAGTCGGCGGTGCGAAACGTTATCGAAGGCGCCTGACACGTCCAGGAGAAGTAGGCTTGCTACCATCCCCTTTCCTGAACCCCAGGCTTCATATATCTTATCCACGATTTGGTGCAGTGCATGTTCCGTCGACCGACGTCTTCTCCCGCCCATGTGGCTATCTGGTAGCAATCCGTGTGTTTCGGCAAGGTAGCTTAGTCTCCTCGCTATGATGGCATCCATGATCTTGCCCACCGTGTTGAGGAGGGCTATCGGCCTGTATGCTTTGGGCACTGTGTAGTTGTGTTTGCCTGGCTTCCTGAGCACCACCGTGGTGGACTTTCTGAAGTGTTGTGGACAGTATCCTAACCGGAGACTCTGATTGAATATGCGGACGAGATGTGGCGTGATCCATGGCCTCGCCACTTGGAGTGCCAGGTTGGTGATGCCGTCGGGGCCCGGGGCCTTCAGCGGTGCTGCTTCCTGGATGGCGTCCTCTACTTCGCTTTCCGACACTGGCGGCAGGCCAATCTGGTTGCTGTACGATGCGTTGTCGATGTCTTCGAGATTTGCCTCGGGTGGCGGGGGGAAGAAGGCTTCCTTGAAGAGTGCAGCTTTCTCTTCGGGCGTTGCGGCGATCTGAGACGTGTTGGGGTTCCTGATTTCCGGCGTAACGGTCGGCGGCTGGCTCTGTCTGTTCCGGGCCCAATTGGCGATCTTCCACAGCGATCTAGGTGACTCGGCCGCTGTTTCCACTGCTTCGCGATGTGCTTGTTGAAGAGCTTTCTTGATGATGCGGCCTTTCCTGTTGCGTGCCTCTCTGTACGCCTCCCAGCTCTCTTCTGTCTGTCGCTCGCTGTAATTGCGGCGGAGTCGTTTCGTCTCGGCCAGGATGGCTGCGCACTGCTCGTCCCAGCCTCTCCTAGACTTTGGTGAAAGGGTGCTGGTCGGGACCGCGGTTTTGATAGCGGCTGAGAGGGCGTCTATGGTTTTCCCTACGTATCCGTCGAGCGCTGCCTTCGTTCTTGGTCTTCGTAGCTGCGGCAACGATCCACGGAGAGTCTCAATAAATGTTTCCTTATCAATAGCTTTCCACTTTCGTTTCTCCTCTCGCTGTAGCTCGGTCACTGCTAGGTGCAGCGACGTCACTATGGGTAGATGATCGGAGTCGTGGTCGATGTTGTGGTCTACTTCGCATCTGATCATTCGGTCAACAAGACCTACAGTAACAAGACAGAGGTCGATGGTTGTCCGGTGGTCTCCTTCTTCGTACGTAATGGTTCCCGCTCTCAGTTGACTCGTGAGGTTCATGTCGTCCATTAGATCTAAGAGCTCGGTTGCTTCGCGGTCCGGCGCTCGGATATCGCTGCCTCCCCACAGCTCATGGTGTAGGTTGAAGTCACCAACGACGATTTGCTCGACGTGCTGGTGTGTTTCCAGTCTTGTTCGTAGCTGCTGTAGGACCGGCTGTCGATCTTCCTCCCGCGGTGACGGGTTGTACACATTATGTAGCACCAGGCTTGTTTCGGTATCGTCGTCTGTTGCGATAACCAGAGTGCAGAGATCTCTGCTAACCTCCCTAAACTGCCAACGAGAGTGGTCGAGCTTCTTGTTGATGAAGAAGCAGACCCTGGCCGGGCCATTTTCCTCGCTGGAGGGGTAGCACAGGTGGAACCGATCCTTGGCCGGATGGTGCGTCGTTGTACTGTAGGGGTTCCTCCATGGTTCCTGAATAGCAATGATGTCGTAATTATCGATGTTCGGGTCACGGAGAAGTGTCGCCATGACGTTGTCCTTCGATTTTCTTACGTTGTACTGTAGTATTGTGAGTGTATGTTGTGCGTTCATTCGCTATCGTCGACGACGATCTCCATCGCTGTGCTGTTGCTTATCGTCTGCGTGTCTGTCGTCTGCGTGTTGAGGTCGAGCGTCTCGAGCGCTCTTCGCGATCGGATGATTGTGCGTCTCGGACGCGTATTCTCTGCGGCTACGGTGATCGTCTCCTCCGATTCCTGGGTTGCTGTCGGGTTAGGCCTCTTCTGGATCTTCTTCGTTGGG